ACAGGGGACATCCACTTGCCACTTTTTGAAAAATGCTTGCAAACTTAAAACCAACGGACAGTTTACATTGAGGGCACTTCCGAAATGCAAGGCAAAGCCAGGGAGGCGCATGGTGGGTCTGCTCTGGAGTTCAGTGTTGCATTCCCTCAGCCTCATGGGAGTTAGCAGACTGGGGCAGAAGTGTCACCCTGCATGGTGCAGGGTGCTGGGTGCTGCGTGCTGGGTGGGTCAGAACTCAGGTTTCTTGACATGCTCAGGTTGGCACTCGACGGGGTGCAGACAGATTAGAGTCCGATGCCAGCCATGAGGATAAGTCAAGTGGGCCAGGGGCTGTGTGCGGAGCCTGCTGGAGGCTTGCAGGTGGACCTGAAAGGCCTGGATTCGAGTTCTGGCTCTGCCACTTTCTGCCCATGTGTCCTGGTGTGTGTATGTCACTGTGTGGGTCATTCTCATCACAGGGAGGCAGGGACAGGAGGGCAGTGTGAATGCCTGGGACTTGCAGAGTTCGTTCCTCATTCTGAGGTGAGTGGCTGGGCTGCTGGGCCTGGTTCTATGGGAAACTGCCGACCAGAGCCCAAGACCGTGGGGAGTGTTCTCAGGGTCAGGGGATTGGTGGGGAAGTTTGGTGACGAATAGAAGCTTCTGGGGAAGCTACAGAGGGATGGGCCAGGATGCCTGCTCTCTGCCCAGTGTCTATTCTGGTGAGTATTAAGATCAAACTGGCCTTTGATACACTTGAAAAGCATGGAAGGGAAGAAAATCAATGGGTTATTCTTTCCTTCCCTGTAGAGGCTGAATGTACTGATGATTTTTCGTTAGCCAGTTAGGAGCTAATGCACCTGCAATGACTGATTCCTTTGGAATTCTCTTATTTTATAATAATGAATTCATGACTCATTATTATTCTTAAAAAAAAAAGTTCCAGGAAGAACAAACAAACCAGCCTGATTTCCTCACTGCCCCCTTCACTTGATTGTCACAGTCACATATCCTTATGATGTTTGAATTAATTTCAGTAATTTTAAGAACTTCTGAGTCAATCCATTGATAAATATTTTTTATGCACCTACTGTGTGCAAAGTGCAAAAGATAGTCAAATTATCTTGGGAATTCTGGAGCCGTGCATACACAGTATGAAGGCCCATGAGTGACTTCCATACCCAGCTTGTCCATACTGAAAGGCAAGAGTGTCTGGGAAAGGTGGTTGGCTTTCCTAACATACCAGACTCATCCTTTCCTTCTTCAGAACAAGAGAGCTGTGGCTGAGCCCTGCGTGGAGCACTCACCACCTCGCAGCCTCGCAAAGGCTGTGCAACCACGGACTTGGAAAACCGAGACACGACTTGCTCAGTGAGAGCCGAGCAGGAGAAGTACGGCAGACCCTCGGTGAGAAGCAGCATGTGGAGGGGGAGACAGGAGAGGCCGTGGAAGGAAGAGGAGCTTGGAAATTCAGCAAAGAGAATTAACAGTCTGAACACAGACAGAGATTTCGGCTGTGCCTCACAGAAAGGAAAGGGGCGGGAGAGGGAGCGAGAAAGCAGGGTGCGTTTCTGCTGCAGACCACACTGTACCCCGGCCTCCTCCTCTGTGGGCCTGGAGATCCTCTGGGGGAGACAGACGTGCAGCTGGGACAGGGGGAGGGACAGGGTAGAATACACACAAGGAGTGAGTTTCTTGCTGCCCCTGGAGACAATGATTCCTTTTGGTGACAACAGAGGTTAATGTCTTAGGCAGCCAGCCACTGCACAGCCCACAGATACTCGCCTGGAACAAGCTGTCTTAGTGTCCTGTTGCAGATTTTATAGAAACGGCCAATTCATCTCTGCATTTCAAGGCTCTTAACTCAGGTTTTGTGAAAAGTTCAAGAACTTCCATCACTCTCTACCTACCTGTATCCACATGCAGACCGTCCCCTAACCTCCCAACCCCACTAAGGACACCAGCCTGTTAGGGGTTCAAGTTCATACACGGAGATGCTGCTGTTGTTGACTCTGCGGAGGGAACACATGAAGGTAGTTTCCTCCAGATTCCTGTCCCCTCCTGCTGTGTCCACCCCTAACAGGTGGTCCTGTCCCTTCTCATTCTGCAGCAGACTGATTCATTTCCAAAGCAGCAAGAGAGGCAAGGAAATATTTTCTGATTCTTATTTTCATCAAGAAGTGAAAGAAAAAAAAATCATCTCAAGAGCAAACGCCCCAGTGAAAGCCAGAGAGCAGGAGAGAGCAGAAGCAGACAGGGTTGTGTTCTGTCTGGAGTCGTTAGCAGCCTCTGGGTGAGAAGATTTGAAATCTGTTCACAACTTCCTGGGTACGAGCAGGAGGCACAATAAAGAGGTGATGGGGGACCTTTTTTGAAAGTCCAGTTTCTCACAAAAACCGTAGGTTGGGGGAGACGGAAGCACCGATAATCTGATTTCCGTAAAGGACGACCCTATTGTGACTGCTCAGAAAAGCAAGCCCATGAGAGCCCCACAACAGCCGTCTGTGCCAGCCTTCAGAAATAAGTATGCTTACGATCTTTGGAAACCAGCACAGCCTTTGAAATTAAGTGGCTTAACGTCTTCAAACTACTTCCTAAGCGGCCGAGGCCCAACTTCCTAGGGGGTCCGGGGCCTGCAAAGCCCGTGTGGACAGAGGCTCTGGGAATGAAAGGCCAGGCTGAGTGGGGGCCCTGAACACTCACTCTTCCTGCCTGGGCCTTGGCTACAAGTGAAAACAGAACGAAGGTCCCAAAGGGAGCCTGGCCCAGCCATCCCCTCACTGCCTGGAGGCCCCAGCCAGGGGAGAGGGGCCGAACCCACAGCTCCTGTGTGCATCGCACAACCCTTGGGAAGGGTTGCAGGCCTAAGCTTTTTAAGGATGATTCAGGGAGAGAGACGGTGTGTGGCTTGGAGAGAAAGTTAAAGGGGCTGGTTGGGCAGCACGTTTGGGGATGTGGACACCAAACAGATGGCATTTTAATGAAAATATGTAAGCCTTTTAATGCACAGCTGATCCAAAGTTCTCCCTACTCCTCTTGCCTTCTGGGGGTTATTAATTGTTTAAAAGATCATAGGAATAAGAAAATGCAAATAGAACCCCCATAAGGAAAGCATATGTAGACCAAGTCACCAGGCACTGGGGATCATTCTCCTAAAAGAGTGTCCTGCTTTCCTCTAACCCGTGGCCGCATATCTCCATCCATCTAACTTAAATCCAAGGGATTTAAGTGATCGTTTCCGTACAGCAGCCCTCATTCACTTTGCTTTTCTTCTCTTTCGGAATAAAAGTCGGCCATAAATGTTTAATTAAATGGAAGTCTTTTCGCGGTTAATGGCCAGCTGCATGAAAGGCTCTTCATTTTTTTTTTTTTTAAGGAGGGGTGTGTTTAAAACAGTCTCTATTAATTTCCCGATATTGATTCTCTGGCTGGGGAAGAGCATATAGTATTCAGCAGAGAGCTGCTATGCAGACGATGTTTGAAGCAGCAGTTTGGATTGAGAAAGGGCACCAAATGCAGTATGCGTCAAATAGACCATCGCTCACTGAAGTCACTTAGCTATTCAAAACATGTCCAGCCATCACTCAACCGCTTGCACCAAGAATGTTGGGGGGCGGGGGGGGGGGAGGGAAGGCACAGAGCTGGTGCTCTTTCCCAGACACGACCATCTCCCAGAGAGCGGCTTTTGCTCAGTTTGGATTAGACCCTGGGGTCACATCGGTTTCTCCCACTCCTGTCCATTTCGCTCTTTGCTCCCCCATCTCCTGGCTTCTACTCCCTGCATTACCATCCCATGTTGAGCTTAACAAACAATCCTGCAGTCTCTGCTTCCCGACGCTGCCTCCAACAGCCTTCAGTATTGGCTCAAATCGGAAGCAAAGCACATAGCCTTCTCTCCACACAGAAACATGTATCTCTCTGTGCACGTCTTTCTATGGGTGGCTGTAACCAGTCAAACACAGTCCCTCCCATTAAAGTCTGTTCTAAATGCAGATCGTATGACCTGCAGGAGTTTTTTTCAGTGCTTATTATTGTGTCTCAGAAGCACATGCCTTCATCCGCACCCTGATCACCCAGGCTTTACACTGTAGGGACCCCTCCCCCTACAGCACATGCACTGGCACACATGTCCCAATGACCCTGCAAGATCAAGGCAAACAGCTGACACCCTTGTCCCACTGCTCTCCTGCCCCCCCCACCCCCCAACCTGCCCATGCCCTCGCCTCCCTCCCTGGCCTCCCTGCACAATGTCTGATTCTCCAACTGGCTGCAATGCTGACTCTACGCGCGTCTGGATAACAGACATGTCACTCTGCGTGGAAGTGAATTGGTTCTCAGCTTAACCTGCAAGTGAATCTCTGTTTATTAGAACTTGGGCTTGTTTCCTGTGAGAGACGTATGTATTTTTAGACTTTGTAAACGTTAAAACACACATACACACACAGCCAGTCGCCTCCAACAATATGTGTAGCTCATAGACATTACGAAATGCTCTTGAACTCAGCTTGAGACCCTGGAATAATTAGGATTTACCAAGTAAGGATTCTTAGAAACAATTTTTTTTTGCAGGAGATTTTCAGATGATGATGTGTCTGGGACTTTTGGGGAGTGAGGGGAAGAGGAGGGGGAAAGGGAGAACATTTTGAATTTCTCTCACAACAGTGTCAGAGAAACAATTATCCTCCCCCCATAGATGGCAAGACTACATCAAATGGCAAATCCTAATGATTCCAAAGTAGGCAGAACACATCTGACTTTTAAAGACAATCCCTTGTTGTTTTCATCACATCATAGATTATTCCAATGAAGAGGTCTGGGGAAAGGGAGGTGGTGGTGGCTTGAGAGTTGAGAATGGTTTTGGCTTATTGATTTCCTTTCCTCTGAAACTAACCCAAGCAACCTGGATCCGTGGTAGAAGGAGTGAAGTAAGAAAATGGTGGAATGTGAAGGGG